GTCACTAATTTGTGTTTCTCTATAGGCATACAGAGTAATATATATAAAACACTGTAATATACACAAATTGTATGCACGCTGGTGTCCTAACAATTAAACACGCAGAACACGTAACGCCGTCGTCATTCATGATTTTTTTCATCAATCAAATCAATCAAAACTTCGAAAGGCCGAAAAGGCTAAATGTGTGGCTAACCAAATTTCAATTTTATGTTTTTTTAAACATATTTTTAAGCATTTCGGAAATTTTACTACATATGATTTCATCATCATCATAAATTACTACCAATTATTAGACAACTGCCGAACATAGGCCTCCCCTGCAGACGCGTGGTGTCGGTTGGCAGCCGCAGCTTTTTAATAATTTGTTATCAAAATTGGCGCCTGTCTATCTCCTGTTCCATTTCCCTCGCTACAAGGTAATCAAATAATTAATTTAACAGTAATAATTCACTAAATTAACGATTCATAGTAAATACCTTTAAATTTATTTTTAATTCATCTCTTAGCCATTTGACTTTATTGTAGATTTTCGGAAGAGAATAAGTATTACATCTCTATCGTAAGTATTTTTAGAAAGCGGTTTATATGGATTTGCCTTCTTTCTCTCAATCGCTTAGTATTATAATAATTTATAATTTTTATCTTATATATATAACAACCGAAAAACTATTCTTTATCTTGACTTAAAACCTACATAACTTTGCATTGCATAAAAACCAAAAGGGATCCAGTAATTATAATTCTAACAAAATATTTCCAATGTCGTTCCCATTTAAACGGTACCTTCACGTCCATTAATTTTTTTAAAACTTGAGCTATTGTATATTGCGTAACCTAACTCTTTTCCTAAAACGGTATTTTAACACGTTTATGTAAGAAAATAAGCTGGTTTTCGAAATTAACATTCGCAAAGATGGATACAGTGTAATGATCAATTGGACATTTAAGGTTTAACAAGGATAGTGTTCCTATGTATCACGTATAGGCGTTACATGGAAATACTAGTTAATTTATTTTATCATTTAAAAGCTTTCACATCTTATTTCACACCGCAGGGGTTGATTTTTCCAAATTTTTTTCTTAGTGGTTGTATACGTCGGAAAAGAAGTATATATATATATATATATATATATATATATATATATATATATATATATATATATATATATATATATATATATATATATATATATAAAATTAAGTCAATCGGGCACGAAGTTTTGGAAATCTCGTGATGAGAGAATTAGGTATTTCACTATTATAATATATATATAAAGGTTTAAAACTTTGTTTCCTCCTTTGCTTTTTCGAACTCAGCAATGATGCATTGCATTAAAACTTTCCTACTCTCAAGTCCCACGGTCTGCGCTAATTATTATTTGAGCCATCCCCAGACCCAGAAGTCGATGGAGGACATGAATGGCAAAATCACAACCAATCTAAGAATTCAGGAATACATTATCTAAGTACTCGCTAGATCTCAAGTAGGTTTGGTAACCGTCATGTTGTAATACGATGGGCCTATTTTCGTCAAATACTTCTAACAATTTGGGCGTTATTTAAAAAACCGAGATAATTGTCCTTGTTTATGTTACCTGGTAAAAAGTGCGAGATTAACTTATGTTCAATATCCTCTGACGCTAAATCTTTTTGGAAAGCCTTCTGTTTGAAATAATACTAATTTTTACGGAATTTATCGCGTATATTTAACTTTTTTACCCGACGTTTCGAGAGCTTTACAGCACCCCATGGTCACGGGAAGGACTGAGATGTTCAACGTCCAGCTGTCATAGTTAACCGCGGTTACCATAGATAAAAATTTAACTTTTGTTCCGATCCACACAGTATGAACTTATGGTATCATGGAGTCTTGCAGTTGTATGCTTGAGTTGGGATTTAATTTTATTTATTATAGGATCCCAAGCAGATGGTAGCACCCAGCCATCTTCTCTATTGAAATTAGGATGTTTTTTGATTTCAATAGCCTCGCGAATCATCCTTGGAAGGAATCGGTGTTCTTTAGCGAGGATTTGTGGTCTATCAAATCTGATGTAGTGACGGGGGCGATCCTGTACATGTTCACAGACTGCAGACTTCCCGGAGCGTCGATTCTTCACATCAGCTATATGTTCTTTGACGCGGGTTTTAATTGATCTTTTAGTTTGTCCTATGTAGGAGAGACCACATTCACAATCAAGCTTGTACACTCCTGCATCTTGCAGAGGGACGTTACACTTGACTGATGGTAAAAACTGACCAATCTTCTTCGGCGGCTTGAAGTATGTTTTGATGGAAGCGCGCTTCAAGATGTAGCCAATCTTGTCAGTGACTCCTCTAACATACGGCAGTACAGCAGGTACACGCTCGACTGTGGCCGGCTTCACTCGTTCTCTGTGACGTAGGCGCGGGACCCGAAGCTTGTTGTCATGCAAAACTTGCTTGACATGTTGGAGCTCGGCAGCCAGGTGTTTACTGTCACAGATCCCTCGTGCTCTCTGAAACAAAGATTTACCCACGGTAGCTAACTGTGAAGGATGGTGGTGAGAATCACCGTTTAATTATCTATCTGTATGGGTCTTTTTTCTATACACAGTATGGCTCAAGGTGTTATCAGGATTCCGAATTACTAACACATCTAGAAAAGCTAAGGAATTGTTTGCCTCTAACTCCATTGTGAACTGAATTTTAGTATTTATAGAGTTAAGATGGTCTAAAAATGCAGTTACTTTATCTAAAGGTAGAATTGTGAAAGTGTCGTCTACGTACCACTTGTAGAATCTTGGATTTATGGGAGAAGTAAGAAGGGCTTTCTCCTCAAAGTCTTCCATGAATATGTCGGCGACAATGGGAGATACAGGTGAGCCCATCGCCACACCATCTACTTGCTTGTAGAACTCCTCCTTCCACAATAGGTAGCCAGATGTAAGGCAGTGTCTGAGTAATACTGCATATTCTACGGGCATGTTGTTTTCTTCCAGCCTTCTAGTTACAATTGAGATGCAGTCTTCAACAGGTAAGCATGTAAACAATGACTGCACATCAAAACTGACCATAGTTTCATTGTCTGCCAGACGTAGGTCTTTAATCCTCGCTAAAGAACACCGATTCCTTCCAAGGATGATTCGCGAGGCTATTGAAATCAAAAAACATCCTAATTTCAATAGAGAAGATGGCTGGGTGCTACCATCTGCTTGGGATCCTATAATAAATAAAATTAAATCCCAACCCAAGCATACAACTGCAAGACTCCATGATACCATAAGTTCATACTGTGTAGATCGGAACAAAAGTTAAATTTTTATCTATGGTAACCGCGGTTAACTATGACAGCTGGACGTTGAACATCTCAGTCCTTCCCGTGACCATGGGTGATGTAAAGCTCTCGAAACGTCGGGTAAAAAAGTTAAATATACGCGATAAATTCCGTAAAAATTAGTATTATTTCAATGTGTAGTGTTCGCGTAAATATAAGAAATCATTAAGCCTTCTGTTTTTTAACGTGTTTATGTCGCTCTTTTGATACTGGTGTGATTTATGATAGTTATCGATCCCTTTTTATTCACTGTGATGTATACCTTTATAGGCCCACAAGTATGCTAAAACGGAAATATCTCGTGCCAGTATCCGATATTAAGCTATCATAGTAAGGTACGACACAGGCTCGCATGCGTTGTCAGAGTATTGGGTACTTACCATATTTGAAAGCTAATTTTTTCCTGATTTTTTTTTTGTTTCGAACCTAGAATCTGAGTTGTTGTGTAGAAATCATTGTTGATAAAAAACACTAAAGTATATTTCTATTTTTTTCTTGTTGGGTTGGAATGCATATAAAAAAATTATTATTACTAGTAATATTATTACCAAATAGTATAAAACAAAGTTGCTTCCAGCCGTCTTTACGTTAAGGTCTTTTAAACTATACATTTTGATGCGTTTTACATCAACAGACAGAATAATTCAAGAGGAAGGTTTATTTGTATAATATGCATATGTAGAGACAATTGTGTTGTATTTGAGTTTATCACTGAACTCCTCCTAAGCGGCTGAACCGATTTTGACAAATTTTTGTGTGTGTTTGAGTGGGTTGTTGTTTAGATTTGAATACGGTAGGTGGTACTGTTATTGAGATTCATAAATCTACCGTGCAAAGCCGGGGCGGAACGATAGATATTAATAAATTAACACACCAGCAGCTAAAAGGTGATGCGTGTGCATCTTCTTGAAAGCCTTCATTGTAGGGACATTAATTAACTTGATCAATTGAGAATATTTTGCAGTGTTTGTTCCGAAGTTATGATGCACTTTGTAAATTTAAATGAGATATTAATATAAAAAATAATTGTAAGATACGATAGAATTAAACAAAGCAGGAGATGGGCAGGAACGTCTTATTCATAAGAACGAAAAAGTAAAAGAACTATAATAACATAGATATATAATATAGAAAGATATTACCAATTATATAAATTGTAATGTTTTTTTAATAATTATAATTTCGTGGAAAATTAAATACGTTTCTAAAATGCGTTAAGTTTTCAAAGATACTATTTTTGAAGGACTTAAAATTCGCAATAATTGTTGCTCATACAACTAGAACAAAACAACAATGGCGCTGAACTATGTTCTGTTTTAGAATACTTTTGTTTGGTTCACTTTGTCTGCTACATTGCTGTGTCATTAATCAAAACTTTCTGGTACAACAGCGAAACATTGGCAATATTACTAGCGAAACAAAAGCACCGCACATAGAGAATAGCTCATTTAAGTGCAGATATTATTAGTGAAATCTAAGTGATAACAATAATAATAATAATAATAATAATAAGTTATGTGACAAAACTACTACGTCGGCGCAGTCAGTCAGCGCCCTGCCAAGAGGTGTGAGCGCCGTGCCTAGGCAAAATTGTGGGTGCAAAGGTCCGTTTGTGCATAAGACCGAACCACGAAACGGTGCCGGGCTTGGGCGTCTCCCGTTATTTGGCGCCCATAAATGGATGATGGTACAAAGAGGAACGCGCATAGGGCCGCTGCCTGGGGGTCGCCGGGGCGCGTCTGGAGCTGGCGCTGGACGCGGCAGCATGCGGGCCGCCAGCCGAGCGCGAGGAGCTGTACGATCACCTAGCAGCCCTCCGCATCCATCATCCCCACCAGAAGGCTTGGTGTCGGCTGGGTCTTCTCGGACTCAGCAAGCGGCACCCGCCGCTGGTGGAGCACGTCGCATGCGTTGGTCACAAACAATGAACGCAAACGCACTGCGGGCGTACTTTAGGGCAAAAGGGGAAGAAACCGGATGTTTGGCATATCGGGCTCGGATGCATCGCTTTTTTGCAGAGCTGGAGCCATCTCTATCCGTCACTGAGCAAAACCTGGCAGACCGAGTTCGGTACATCCTGCGCTCCAACATATTTGGTGACGCCGAACTCGAACGACTACGACGTGAGGCTGTTCCCTCATCGGATGGAAATGCTACGGCTGGGAATGCGGCGCCACTAATTGCGCAGCAAACTGCAAATGTGGACGCTGCCGTCAATATTCCATTTGTGGTTGATTCAGACGATGATGGAATAGTCCCCCACGAACTAGAGAAAATGAGGAGCATATTGGAAGAGTCGATGCTGGAAACGCGCAGCATGCCTCTCGAAAATCGACCGCGACTTCCCCGCATACCCCTTAGCAAGCGAAATCGGGCTGTCGTGCGGGCTCTTAACCCAATGCTGGTGACATATTTGGAAGCCAGCCGGGACCTTTGCGAGACGGACTCAATTCTTTTTGGCGCCGCACTGGCAGTATGCCGTATTATTGGCGCCAAACTTCCCATGGCTGGACGTGCTACTCAACAAGGTAGTGCCATCCCAGCCTGGAGAAAAAGAATCGAGGACCGTATCGCAAAGGCAAGGGCCCTTATCGGCAGACTGATAAGCTTCAGGTCGGGTAATATTAGACCGAGAGTTGTGCGCACCGTTAGAATGGCGTTTGCTGGGACAAATATTAGTTTGTCCCAGCCGGATATCACGCAGAAACTAACGGAGCGCATAGATGACCTGAAGCAAAAAATCGCTGCTTGGGGAAGCGGATTCGACGATTTAGCGAGAGGTCAAGGCGGTTCAACCAAAATCGTCTCTTCCAGAGTGATCAGAAGAGGCTCTATAAATCATTGGAGCGACCAGAGGTATGTGGAGCGGGCCCAGGACCGGATCAGGCTGACACTGTCGCATTTTGGCGTGGCCTGTGGTCAGAGCCCGTAAACCACAGCGAGGGCCCTTGGATGGAAGTTGTGGCGAGCCAGAGTGCAAGTGTTACGCCTATGGACCCCGTCACCATAACGCCTGAAGACGTGGCTGAGGCGGTCCGTAGGGCCCCGAACTGGAAAAGTCCGGGGATCGACGGGCTGCATCATTACTGGCTGAAGGGGTTCGTAGTGTGTCACGCTGTGCTCGCCCGACAGTATCAAGAGGCTCTCGATCAGAAGTCGCTCCCGAGCCTCTTCACTACTGGGATCACTCACTTGGTTCCTAAAGATCAGGATACCACAGACCCGAGCAAATACCGCCCCATCACGTGTCTACCCACTATATATAAGACACTGACATTCATTTTGAGCGCGAGAATCACTCGTCACCTGGAGCTAAATCAGGTGATGTCACGCGCTCAAAATGGATGTCGGGGCGGTGGTCGTGGAACCAAGGAACCACTCCTCATTGACGCGGTCATTGGCAAAGTGGTAAAACGCAACCGTCGGAACTTCTCCGCCGCCTGGATAGACTACAGAAAAGCATTCGACTCGGTGCCCCATGCATGGCTAAAGAGGGTCCTCGAGCTGTACAAGATTGACTGTACAGTTAGAGACTTCCTCGAGCAGTGTATGGGGCAGTGGAGTACGATCCTCTGTTATCAGGGCGAGCGGATGATGGCTGCGGAGAACCACATAAGGATAAGAAGGGGTATCTTCCAGGGCGATTGTCTGAGTCCAATCTGGTTCTGCCTCTCTCTGAACCCTCTCAGTACCTTACTGGAGGGCTCCGGGAGAGGATTTCAGCTACGGAAAGGAGGAACAAAAGTGACCCACCTTTTCTATATGGATGACCTCAAGTTATTCGCCTCCAGTCGCTCCCATCTTATGGAATTGCTAAACATCACTTGTGAATTTAGCAATTCCATTGGAATAGAGCTGGGGACGGATAAGTGTGCGGTCCTTCATGTTGAAAGGGGAAGGGTTGCTAACTCTGAGGGCATAGATTTATCTATGCCCGTCAACTTAAAGACCCTTTCCGAGGCTGAAACATACCGATACCTGGGTATGTCACAGAACATCGGTATCGATGAGGCTGGTATGAAACAGTCAGTTTGCGACGTGTTTTATGCACGCTTGACCAAAGTGCTTAACAGCCTTTTGTCCGGTGTGAATAAGACACACGCATATAACGGTTGGGTCATGCCTGTCCTCATATATACCTTTGGCATACTCAGGTGGACTCAGACCGAACTTAACGCCCTGGATAGAAAAGTCCGCACTACCATGACGTCCCATAGGATGCATCATCCGAGATCGTCGGTAATGAGGCTGTACTTGCCGCGAAAGCATGGTGGGCGTGGTTTTATGAGCGCGCTCACCATGCATAATCGCGAAGTGTGCAGCCTCCGTGATTACTTCCTGGCGAGATCGGATGATCCATTCTATAATGACGTCATTTCTAGTGATAAAGGGCTTACCCCTCTATCCTTAGCCCACGAGCAATGGCAGGACCCAGCAGTGCTTAGCATTTCCGACCGGGAGACCGTATGGAAGGAGAAGGAGCTCCACGGAAGGTACTACAGGGCTCTTCATGAGCCCTTCGTAGATACAGTCGCCTCCCTCAACTGGCTACGTTTCGGTGACCTCTTCGGGGAAACCGAGGGTTTTGTCTGTGCAATACAGGATCAGGTTATTAAGACCAACAACTATCGGAGATACATCCTAAAGGATGGCACCGTCGACGTCTGTCGAGCTTGTCGCCATCCCGGTGAATCACTTAGGCATGTCATCTCCGGTTGTTCGGCGCTTTCTAACTCTGAGTACTTGCACAGGCACAACCTAGTAGCCAGAATTCTACACCAGGAGCTCGCTCTGAAATATGGTCTCGTGGACCGGAAATTGCCGTATTACAAGTACTTGCCGGAAGCCGTGCTCGAAAATGACCGCGCCAGGCTCTACTGGGACCGGGCCATCATCACAGACAGGACTATTCTTGCGAATAAGCCTGATATTGTGCTGATGGACCGGGCACAGTCAAGGATATTTTTGGTCGACATTACCATTCCGTATGACGAGAACCTCGTGAAAGCCGAAACAGACAAGCAAACAAAATATCTGGACCTGGCTCACGAGGTGACTGACATGTGGGGTGGTCTGCCGACCGAAATTATTCCTGTAGTCGTCTCTGCAAACGGGCTAATCCCAGTCAGCCTCTCGGGTCATCTGAGGCGACTGGGACTACGTGGCGGACCGCTCCGGGCTCAAATGCAGAAGGCGGTGCTCCTCGATACCGCCCGCATCGTCCGCCGGTTTCTTTCCCTTTTCCCCCTAACCCTCGGCCGTTTGGTCTCCCCCTGCCGAGGGCCTCCATCTGGTTGGGCTTTTATTTATTTAAGTATTTTTATATTTATTTTATGTTATTGATATTTATGTATATTTATTATTCATTCTCATTTATAATTATATATTTATAGAACCCAACCAGATGAGAAAACTATATAGATACCCCACAATAATAATAATATTCCACGACTATCACACAACGCCGTCTAGTCTCAAGCTAAGCAGAGCTTGTGTTATGGGTACTAGACAACTGATAAATACACTTATATATTTCTAAATACATAAATATTATAGATAAATTACACCCAGACACAGAACAAACGATCGTGCTCATCACACAAACATTTGTCCTGGGTGGGAATCGAACCCACAACCTCCGGCATAGCAGTCAGGGTCACTAGACCAACAGACCTGTCTGGAATAAATGTCTATTTATTCCAGATCATGGCACTTCAATAAATAACTGTAAGTGGCAGACACATAATATAGATCACTTACAGAAAACCATCATAAAAATTCAGCATTATTCTGCTTTAATTAATATTATTTTAATAAGTGGAATAATCTAAGTATGCAGCGTTGGTATCTATGCACTTTTGTCATCTCATAGGTACTCGTAGTTCATTGATCCCTTTACTAAAAAAAACCATGGGGGTGAAAATCAATAAACTCTTTGAAGGTGGTTTGGACTGCTGCATCGGAGTTGAATTTTTTCCTTGTAAGAAGTTGTCCAAATGCCGGAAAAATGGTAATCTGTTGGAGCAAGGTCCGGGGAGTACGGTGGCTGTCGCAGACATTCCAATTGTGGCTCATCTAACTTAGTGGTTTTGTTGTGCAGTGTGTGGTCTTGCGTTGTCGTGAAGCAGCAGTGGTCTAGAGCGATTGACCAATCTCGGTTGTTTAGCAGCTAGTTCTTCCTTCACGGTTTGCAGTTGCTGCCAATAGATATCTGCCGTAATCGTTTGGCCAGATTTTAGAAAACTGTAGTGAACGAGCGCTAGTCGAACAAACACTCACAAGTAACTTTTCCTGAGTCAATTTTCGTGTGGGGCAGGATTTGGCTGGGTTTCCAAAGTGCAGTCATTGTGACGAGCGCTTCCGATTATCGTACAGTGTCCACTTTTCATCACAAGTAATGATTCGATTAAAAATTCCTTCATGTCTGTGTCAGTTGAGCAAAGTAACACAGCAGTCGATGTGTGTTTGCAAGTTCATTCACTAAATTCATCAGGTATCCATCGTTCAAGTTTTTTTACTTGTCTGATTGGCTTCAAGTGGATTAATACAGTTTTATCACTTACCCCAAAGCCTGCAGCTATCTCTAAAGTGTTTTGTGATGGATCCGCTTACAGAATAGCCTTTAATTCTTCATTTTCCACTTTGGTCTCCGGTCGTCCACGGGATATGGTTCTAAAGGTCGAAATTTCCAGAACGAACACGTTGAAACCGAAAACGTACCGTGGTTTCTTTTGCGACACCAGCGCCGTACACATCGTTAATCCTTCGAGCTGTTTCTGCAGCACTGGTGCTTATTAGATAAATAGATTTATTCCTTATAATCTATAGATTACAACAGTAATATTAGTTTTACCACATCTAAACGGAAAACTGAGCAATTATCAATTAAAATATGAATTTTAAAATAACCTAGAAATAAACTAAAAGCGATTTATAGTAGTTTTTACCGGTATTCTAAGTTAAATAGTGCACTGTTGAATAATAGTACATATAAAACCAAGTTGTAGGTACATTCAGCATTTACAAGTATTTCAAAATCCATGGAAAACCTTTTTTAGTAGTAGTTTACGGCAAAATATAGTGCCTGTCTTTGTGCAAATGTGGTATGGAGACTATTTTTACATATATTGATTGTGAGTGTACTTTTCAATTACATAATTTTCAAATACATTACCATTAAAATAATATGATTAAATTCAAGATAACTAAGGTATAATATGTCCATTTATATTTATAATATTACCAACACACGTTATATAGTTAAAAAGATGTTTTAAACTGACTGTAAAAAACAAGTTACAATGCAACTGTATTTATAGATAGTAAATCATCATTTCCTATGTAGTCTATATAATTCAGACATACAATTCAGATCTATAAATGCAGACAGATAGACAGGCCCGGTGTCAAGACTTTTTTAATATGCTTTGGTTAATTATTAAATACCTAATTATACATCAAAAAATGAGTGGGTTCTAAAATACCAAAATGACTGGGTAATATCATGCTTTAGTGTCATTACACACTGATATAAATAGTAAGGAAGTAAGATGTTTTGAACTGTTTGTGCCAGGATAACAAAAACACAGGTATAGTTCTGTAAGCTCTGACAGCGCGCGACATGTTATACTCCCGTTCGCTCGGGACCGTAATGGCGGCAAAATTTGAAAATTAGCAAATTTTTTGCTATATTGCAAATTTTGCTATATTTTCGCTTTGAGACAATATTTATGGATAAAACTTACAGGAATTCTTGTTGAATGTATAAACTATCGAATAAAATTATTTTTGGTTGCTAGAAATTGTAATAAAATACGTAAATTACCCTGTATAGCTGTATAGTGGTATATACTTCAATTTTAGTGACAAAATTACTACTAATTTGAATTCTACACTTTTGTTTTTAGAGAAATTTATATGAAAATGTTTGGA